GGGTGGGCCAATGATGTGTATGGGTTTAACATGGCGTGTATGCGACCGCTGGTAATCCAGGAGCCCACAGTGGACGTGGTGTCGGCCAGGCACGTGGTTACCAACTCGTGCCTCCTGAAGGTGTGTGTGACTCGTATTTTACTTGGAGGACAAGGGAAAGGTGCAACGGTTCGGCTCACAAATGTTCAGATCTCGCTACCGTCAGAATCAGTCAGCCAGTGTATTAAATGATGACTATGTAGTATAAAGAAGAGCAGATTCATTCCTCAAGCTAACCGACATCTATCACACTGCAATCTTTTGGCCTGTCACTTGCTGAATTTGCCTTGTGCACAAAGGACAAAACCAGTCGTGACAGGCTGAATTTAAGTTCTAAACTATATGGCTCCTTACACGGTGTGATAGATGTCAGTTAGTTTGAGGAATGAATCCACTCTACTGTTTATGATGTGATGACTGTGTAAGGTTCCTACTGTGCCCTTTTCACTAGATGGCGATAGCTGAGCAGCATCGGTGACCAAAATTGCATTTGTGTGACCTTTGACTAATTCAATCCTGGAACATAATGCACTGTGCAAAAGTGTGATTTGAAAGGCAACAAAACATTAAAAATATTGTTCTTTGTCTATGAAATTTGTTGAGCGACATGTCAAATATCTGGTCGCTCATCAATTGCAGCATCTAGTGGAAGGGGATGTAACCACCTAAGTTTCAGCACTTTTTATACAAACACAATCTGCCAATGTAGCTTAAGTTACAGAATTAGAGAGCTAAAGGCAGGCAAATACGTTGGTAAAGAATAGACATCCAGTAGTAGTAGTAGTAAGCCTTTATTTAAACTCGAAAGCTTGTTCGGTTACAAATGACCGCTTTTCAACAAGGTCGAGGGTGAGGGCGGGGTCACGGATTACAAATCAAACCAAAATGTAATACAAAATCAAAACAAAGTGCAAATCAAAATATAATACAAAAATAAATAGTAAATCATCAGTCCGTTATCAGTCCAAGTTCCTTATCATACTTCTAAATGTTCCCAATGACTGGACTGCTCGTACATGTGGTGGCAAGGAGTTCCACACAGTCGCCCCCGAGTACCTCAGTGACCGCCTGTACACTTCCAGTTGGGGCCTCGGTATGATGAGGTTGTCCAAAGTGCTCTGTCTGGTGGATCTGGAGGCTGCGTCTACAGGAGGCTGGGGGTCAGCCTGATAGACTTGCTGATGAGGTAGTAAGATACGCCAAGAAACAGTAACAGTACTCAAACAACTGGATATGATTTTGATTTTGGAAATGGTCAGATATTTTAGGTAGCATGCACTACCTACTGGTGTCTCCAGATGCTACCTGAAATGTCTGACCGTTTCCAAAATCATATGCAGTTGCTTGAGTAACTGTTTTTTGGCGAATCTACCTAGGGCCTTCTTAAGTTCTGTGTTGAAATACGGTAGACGTGTGAGTTTGAAGGTGTGGCATTGCCATGCCCGCCCCAACCCCCCCTGCCTGTTGTATGTTGTGTACAGGAGGTGGACATCAACACGTGTAAGATCGAGGATCTGCAGTTCACCTCGCCGTTCTGTCTGCAGTGTCGGCGTAACGACTACGTCCATGCCCTGGTCTGCTTCTTCAACGTGGAGTTCACCAAGTGCCACAAACGCACCGGCTTTTCCACAGGTACACCCTCTCCCCATTGTTCTCATTAGGCCATTTGAGCTATGCTGTGATTTGGACCCCCCTATGCTGTCTTTCAACTAGCATAGGGGTGTTTTTTTTTGGGGGGGGGGAATCTTTAAAAAATTAAATACAACTTTAGAATGAAGAGGAAGGAAAAACCTTAATTACACAAAATCTGTCCCTGAATAAGTGAGAAATAGTGTTATGAGTTTCAAAATTTTTCAGGACAGCGAAACTGAATTTTCCATTTCCAAGTCCATTTTCTGGTCATTCTTTTAGCGAAGTAAGATGAGTCAGCCCTATTGTGTAGTATACTGATACCTGCAAAAATGCAATGTTGCTGATGGAAAATGCGTCATTGTGTTGCCTTGTTGGCTGGTTCAAGCTATCTACTGATGGTACCAAAAAAAGAACATATTGCTTGCTTTGGGGTTGTTTCTAACACATGTACATGTACATGAATAGATTGATGACAAAAATGTGCAATAAATGTTAATATCTGGCAGAATTCCTTATCCAGAATATATAATATCAGGGAATGGAATGGACTGAGTGAAACCTTAAAAAACACAGAAAGAAGGGTAGAGAAAACTGGTTGTCAGATCTTCTGTGGCACCTCAACCGCCAAATAATTAGACTAATGGATAGGTGAGATGAAGGTTGTATGGTTGTGTGTTCCTGGCTGCAGCCCCAGAAGCCCACTACACCCACTGGAAGCAGACAGTGTTCTACATGGAGGACTACCTCACTGTGAAGCGGGGGGAGGAGATCTACGGAACCTTCAACATGAGGCCCAACAAGAGGAACAACGTAAGAACACTGCTAAATGCACTGTTATCACCCCCTTTCAACTAAGGCAGTAATTGTTGAGCAACCAAATATTGTAAGGCCTAGCCAAAAAATGTTGTTTCCTGTTTCCCGACTGACCCTTGACATTTTTGGGGGTGGATCCCTAAAGAAAAGTCTAAAAAGAAATTTAAAAAAAGATAATCCCTACCTACCGACCCTGTTTTTTTTTCAAGACTGAAACAGGAAACACAACTTTTTTTTCCTAGGCCTAACTAGTTCAAACTACTTTATTGATAAAAGTAGTTTGTAAAATTGTGTGTTTTGTTATTTTTCAAATCATGCTTTTACTTGTGGGATATTCTGAAATATAGTCATACAGATGCAAGTTTGGTCGCTCAATGTTCAGAAATCTCCCTCCAGTTGGAAAGAGGCCTGAGGGAATATAATGGTGGTCACAATTCAGAATTCTGATTTCTAAGTAGGATTTGGCATCTTTGATTTCAAAGTTTCCCTCTTTTTGTTCTGCCATGAGTTGGGTTGTGTGATCTAACATGGTCATACCCATGTATATTCTAATAGACCATTATTATTATCATTGATATATGTGATTGCCAGAAGTAGAAAATGATTGATGGTAATGAATGATATTAATTGATGCTTTCCTTTACAGAGAGACTTGGACTTCAGCATCGACGTGGAGTTTAAGGGGGAGCTGGGAGAACTGTCTGCCTCCACCAACTACAAGATGCGATAGAGACGTGCCCAACCCCCCCTGCAATATTTCTGAATGGTCTAGCCCAGCATCGTCGCAGGGGATTCTGGGATATGCCATCCAGAAAGCAAGGATGTAAGGACACTTTGACCTTTTTGACGGGTTCAATTGCATGCTGGGAAATGCAGGGCACTATGGGTAGCATAAGGGGGAAATATCATTACCGTGACATTATAGGTTACACAGTATACTTTTGCTACCCATAATACACTGCATCTCCCAGCATGCCTTGGGATCCGTGAGAAGGTCTAGTAGGCAACCGCAAAAAAAATGACAACACTTGAATAATGAGACTTCCCAAAAACTGGTGAAAAGTTTTTGACTTCTAGTCCATTTTTAGCAGTTTGAAAAGAAAATCAGCAATTTCTCACCAAGACCTAACCCTCTAACAAGAACAAGTCGTTCACATATTATTTTGATGTTGGAGAGAAACATTTGAAAATGGACAAAAACTTCTCTGAGATATTAGAATTTTACAACAGGAAGGAGCATTTACACAAAAGATGAGCATCAAAAACATTGAAAGGAAACATAAAAAACGTAAAAGGCAATTAAAAAAAAAGTAAAGGCTACTACGGTATGACAAAAAGAAGAAATTTGTAGGAGTTACACAGACATCATGTATTTAAGAAAACTATACTTAATATTACATTTTATATTTCCTGTAAACTCGTGCAAGAATTTTGATGGTGAATCAATGTTCTAACAAAAATCTTATACTGCTGTAATAGCTGAGATACACAATCATGTGTTTCAGTATTAAGAAATTCATGATTGCTCCTTACATGTTAACAAACCTCACATCATTAATAAGTATATTCTCTGTTGGTTACTATTGATAACTTACCACAAAAACTTGCTTGTTCAGGTTAAGCTTTGAGGACGTTGTGTGTATCAGCCAGTACAATCTTTGTACAAATGTATCGTTTCTTCTTATTATTATTACGATGAAATACTAAAATCCCTAAACATCTTTTGTAAGAGAACTAGAAACACATGAATAGTAATATCAGCATATACATTTTGTACAGTTCATACATGTACACCCCAAATTCACGCAATGAACCACCAAGGACTACAAGTAAGAAGAAAGTAGATGAAAGATACATTCTTGTCCCAGGCAGTGAGCTTGACCTTCGTGTATCAGGATTTTTTCCAGTTGTATGGCATCATATTCAGGACCAAAGAAGGGGGAAACATTCTAGTTTGGTATAAGAGGGAGAGATGCCACCTTGTTTTGTATCAAATATCTTACGATAAGCCGTTATTTGTGTAATATTGAAGTCTTTTTAAGCCCCACATGTATCCTTGTTTTCCCCCTAACACTCCAAGACAATGTTATGTATACAGAAATGAATTATACTGCTGAAAGTGACCAGCTCACTTTTAAAAGTCAACCCCGTAGACTTAATACTTTAATTCTAGCCTGTATTGTTTAGTGTACATGTCTGTAAGGAGCTGTAAGTGTCGGCCATGTGTATGTAGGTAAAACTTTAACGTCACAGTCTCATTACACACTGCGCATGGCACCTATCACTGTGATGACAGGTTTTTGAAGTTTTCAATAAAGTGAGTCCATTTGAATATTTCTGGAGGAAATATTCTTTTTTTTTCCCATAGCAGCATTTACTCCTAAACATCCCCTTGCCAGCTACCTTCATTCATGGTCACAGAAAAGCAACACCTGGTTTGGAAGTCAGTTACATGTAGTTATTGCAGAAGGGCCATCTGTTGAATAATGGTGATACTGCAGTCTCCACAAATTCAAACTGCTAGAGTTGAACGATTTCATACCTTTATATATAAAGGAAACAATCTGCAGACTGAATTAGAGTCAGACTTTACAGTACATCAATTAAATGGATAAAATCACAGCTTGAGAAGAAGCGAGGCAACACGTGGAGAAGCGAGGCGACCTTTCCACCTTCAAGGCAAAGTCTGTACACAGTTTTTGTCTGCGGGCTGATAAGCGCTAAAGTCCGAGATGCTGGAGGGCTTCAGTGTACGTGGTGAATTGTCGACCCATCATTATTCTGCAGGCCCTTCTCTGCACCCACTCCAGGGCGGCTGACTGTTTGTGAGTTAGTGAATTACATCAGTTTCTTATATTCTCCCCAATGACCGTCTTATTTTAAACAAAGAAAGCTATTCTAAATTATGCAAATCAGTGGATTGGAATAAGTTGTGTTTGATGATATTCATATTTACTTGACTTCCAAATGCCTCAGGTATGAAACTCCTGTCATTTACCAGTATGGAGTGATAGAATGTTTTCATAATAATGCAAATTGGGACACAATTTACACAACATCTGCCAATGTTCCTCTAAATTACATATGTCACAAGTTTGAATTGTCCTATCATGGAACGCAGAATGGTTGCGTTATTTCCATATGCTTTGTGTATCGATATCGGTACAACAAGGCTGAAAAATGAATTTCGAGCCCTGGTTACTTGGACAGGAAATTTGCATCCTACATACATATGGTGCAAAAAATGCGCCACCAAACGACTGAAGTTATTGCAGGAAAACACGCATCCAGCAGGAGCAAACGCGTGAAGATGATGCGAGTGTTCTGAGTGTACAAATGCATTGGTTTCTTTCATATGTGGTGATATTTCGTTTGTAGTAACGACCAGGAAGAAGCCAGGTTGAAACTTTCATGTCCTTGGTGCTGAAACTAAGCAATCCCTGAGAAATGTTGTACAATCGGATTCAAACATTGACCTTGAATCATTAATCATTCATTAAGGTGTTTTCCTAAAGAATAAAGGTTTGCCTGAAAAAACAGGTCATCAATTTTTTGACCCTAAAATCACAATTCTGCACATTTCAATGAGAATGAGCCATAAATGAGCTTAAAAGTTATAGATTTCAAAGAGTCAATCGGGTGAATCATTGAGGTAAAGAATGGGAGCATTAGGATACTGTAATTTAGTGTAAATAACACAACAATGGAAACTATGAGGATACTGCAAATCACACAACAATGGGGGTACAGTCAATAACAGTAAACTGGTTGTCATGAAGGAACAAAAATTAATAGACTTTGTAACATTGAACCAATTAAAAGTCTAGATTTTGCTAGCCATAAATCTAGTAATATTCCAGTCTGTTATTGTCTTCTCTTGTCTTGTCAGCAGGGCCCTAATTAATTTTGTAATAGCCACAGGCTAAGTTGCAATTGGGGGCAGCCCTTGGTTGTGTGTGTTGAAGAACCAAACAATCAAGAATCTAACTAACATTTTCCCACCAGGTCACATAATAATTGAATGTAGCTGCTTAAGTGTACAAATATCCCTGTTTTATAGACTGATTTCAGTATGTTTCCCCATGTAAATGTATTAGAAACAGTAGAGCCTCCTGTGTCTTTGCCTTCTTTCGCATTCTTTTGCCGGCCATCCTACAACTAGCCGCCCAGAGACGGTTTGTACCCACCGCCATAGGATGGCCGACAACAGAATGTGTAAAAAATACTAAAAAAAGGGTATCAAAGCTCCCACCCACCAGGAGGCGTGCACAGTAATAATAGAGCCCATTAAACAACAATGTCCTTGAAACCTGACATGTTGACGTTTGCCCTCAGGCTTTGTGTTAACTTGAGTCAAACAAAACTGTGCTCACTCAGGTATGACCCGGAAGTACATGTTAAGTGGGAAAGTGCAGTCAGAATACAAGGGGAAACCCAGAAGTTTTGCCTACGCATTGAGATACAGAAACATTTCTCTACACATGTACTGAAGAAAACCTAGAGCTTTTACTTCTAATGAGGGAAACAGAAAAGTCTCTAGCCAAGCAGGTTCACAGGTCTGGAGTCTCAGACATCCAGGTGAGATTTAGGCACGTCTCAGACATCCAGGTGAGATTTAGACATGTCTTAGAAGGTGAGATATATTCAAGAACTTAACAACCATTCAACTTCACAGTCACAGGTTGCAGTGGCTAATGGGCCAGGGGTTCAATGATGAAATTACATGTGTTTTTGGACATACTTGTGTTAACAGGAGTGCATTTTTAGTCAACAAAATGTGTATAATGACTACAAATCAAACATGACAATACCAGTACATAATTATTGTCTTCTAAGGCCTGATAAGTTAAAGGACCTGACCTAAAATGGGATTTTATTTTGTTTCCACAGATCATGCAGCAACTGTATAAAACACAAAATGAGGGGAAAAAAGGTTTAATTCTCCAAAAACTTAAAATATGTGAACACAATTGAGTTTCTTAAAACAAACTGAACTGGAAAATGACTACGGCATCAATATGGCAAGCCTGGCAAATAAGTTACAGCACTTTCAGTTGTATCTTGACAGGCAAGACGACCATGAAGTTGTTTTTGTGCATGCACTTAGAGAAGCCATAGTTTGTATCAATTATGCCATGCAAGTAGAAGTAATGAAAAGTCTTGGAGACCTGCATCTTGAGAAAGGCAAGTTAAGTAAAGATTCAGCAGAGTTTGAGAAGGCTGTTGCCCTGTATGCTGATGCCTTGCTGCACTGCACAGATCCAGACAAGTGGCAGAGACTTGTGACAAATTGGACAAGGAGGGTGGAAATATTGAACAGACTTATGCAGAAATGTTGGTGACTGCTATTGCAAACAAAAATGTCATCTTAGAGCTTGAGGTTCTAAAATCTCTTGGTGATTTGTACTTCAAAAAAGGCAAGAAAACTTTGAATGTATCCCAGTTCTCCAAGGCAGCTGCCATGTACAACAAGGCCCTGACAACATGTGGAGATCCTGAGACAAAACAGACCTTGGTGCATCGTGCCTTGTACATGGTTAAGATCTGGGAAGGAGTGAGGAAGGTGAGTAGTTTTGGGCAGGCCATTATTTGGCCAGTTCACTTTTTTTTTTTAGTTTAAAAAAGTAATGTAGCTTCTTTTTGTATAAATGTACAATGTGATGTACATTTCAATGTCACATCCAGAGGTTCTTAAAATTAAGTCTTGTATCGTCTTATATTTTCCAAGACTGAAGAATTAATACAGTACATGTACTATAATGCGGTGAAGGACCATTATCCGACCATATTATATACATGTACATGTAAAATTCAATATGCGGACATAATATCTTGCAGCAAACATCACGATTAGCAGAGAAGCACTTTGCAGCTGCACTCAAGAAGGTGCATGTGAGAGGTAAGGAAATAATGCCTATACTGCATGTAAATTAACGTTATACATATTAACTATGCTGGCATATTTATACAAACATGAGGGCACAGAGACACATTTTTCTTGAATGAACATTGTAGGATATATTGTAAACTACAATGTATGCTAAGCCTGGCAATCCTTGATACATCTAAGTAAATGCCAAGGGCTGTCACTCCACAGATCCCACAGTCCAGCAGTACCAGAGAGAGGTGGAGCCCATGTGCAAGTTGGGGGATGTCTACAGTAAGCGAGGTCAGCAGACAGGAGACGGGGGAGACTTTGTCAAGGCGGCAGCACTCTACAATGCAGCAATAGCCAGGTCAGAGGATCAAGTCCTCAATGGTAACATAGAAATAGCTATCAAAGAAGTAGAGAAGTCATTTTTCAAATGTATCTTAGGCATTCATAGCAATGTTAGCCACAATAACACAGAAAAACACAAGAAACAGCTGAGGGAGATGCGGGACCAGATCAAGCTGGAGATGGAAACCATTGGCCAGCAGCTGGATCCATATGTACATGATGAGGATGACCCATGCGTCAAAGAGATAGAGGCAAAACGAGCTCAGGCTGTCAGGCATTTGTTTGAGAGAATTGCAAAAGAAAGAAAGGAGTTCATCAGTCTGCTTGTAGAAGAGTGCATTGGGTTAATGGGTCCCTCTCCCTGTAAGTATGCCCTGATAGGTTTGGGTTCACAGGCCACAGGACTGGTAACTCCATACTCAGACCTGGAGTTTGCCATCTTAGTAGAAAAAGAAAGTGAAGAATGTCTTGTGTATTTCCGTAACATCACCCACTATCTGCACCTCAAGGTAGTCAACCTGGGAGAAACCATTATCCCAGCACTGGGAATAACATCTCTCAATGATTTCTACTCTAAGAACCCACTTGACGACTGGTACTATGACTCTGTTACACCACGTGGGTTTGCATTTGATGGCTCCATGCCAACGGCAAGCAAGACTCCACTGGGCAGGCAGGGAACTATGAACAAACCACCCAGTGAACTCATCTGCACCCCACAAAACATGGTCTCAATACTACAAAATGATGTCAGGCTATACATGAAGGAAGGATATCACCTTGCCACTATTTTGAGAAACCCATGCCTGATAGCAGGTGACAAGGATTTGATTGACACATACATGGCCATTACAGTGGAGATACTGCAAGCTGATGGGGGAAAAATGACTCAACAACTGGCACAGGAGATATTAATGGAAAACTGTAGCATGTACAAAGGTCTTAGATTAATCACACCCAGGCTAATTGATGTGAAGAAAGACATATATCGTTTCCCATCATTAGCAGTAGACTGTTTGGCACTGTCTTCAGGCATCATACCTACCACAGTTTGGGAGACAATAGACAAAATGGAAGACCAACAAGTGATCAGTCCCAACAATGCACACCACCTGACAGTGCTTACCAGCATCTCAGCAGAACTCAGACTCAGAACATACATCGCAACTGGTGGACAGAAGGAAAAGCTGTCAGCTTTGACTTTAATTGAAACAGAACAGCATGGACAGAAAATATCCCTACAGACTGATGATCAAGAAGAAACTCCCCTGAAACAGATTTTCTATCTGCCTAATGAAAAACAGCTTTTCAGATACTATTACACAGCAATCCCTCTTAGAATTACTCTTCCAGAATGGTGTAAACAAAAAGCACTTCCAAATTCATTCTCTGAATTTTATGTGACAACAATAAAAGCAACAATGTACACTGAACTAGGCAAATATAGCCAGGCTATCAGCTGCTACCAGGAAGCTCTGAAGGAAGCTGAGGGAAATGATGCTGAGAAAATTTTCCTGCTTCAAGGGCTTGGACTTTCTTTGAGCAGAATGGGTGATAATCAGGGGGCAGTCATTCACCTTAAAGAGGCTCTTTCATTGGCACGTGCCTCTGATCAAAGTATCACAAGTACAGACACTGCCATGTCACTAAGAGACTTGGGTCAATTGTACAACCATATGGGCAATCACAAAAAAGGAATCAGCTACCTTGAACAGGCACTGCAGATGTACAGGATTATCTATGGTCTCGGCACAGCACATTGTTACATTGCCATCTTACTCAACATGCTGGGGGCAGCCTACAGTGGGCTTGGCCATTATGGAAAAGCAATGAGCTACCTTGAACAGGCACTACAGATGTACAGGAGTATGTATGGTGAGAATACAGCACATCCTGATATTGCCAGTGTACTTAACAATCTTGGAATAACAAGGAAACAATTGAGTGATTTAAAAAATGCCCTCAGCTACCTGGAACAAGCCCTGCGGATGAACAGAACTGTCTTTGGTTATGGAACAGCACATGTTGAGATTGCAACATCACTTGGAAACCTGGGGGCTATCTGGTACAGTCTGGGTGATTACAAGAAATCACACAGCTACCATGAACAGGCACTAGTGGTAAACAGGAGTATCTATGGTCAGGGTACAATGCATCCTCACATTGCACTGTCACTCAACAACCTGGGATTAGCCTTGGATAACCTGGGTGAAAAACGTAAAGCTATCAGCTACTATGAACAGGCATTGCAAATGCATAGAATTATCTATAGCAAAAATACAACACATCCTGACACTGTCAGAATACTCAACAATCTCGGCGCATCCTGGGATTCCTTGGGTGATCACAGGAAAGCAATCAGCTACCATGAACAGGCACTGCAAGAAAGGAAGAGCATCCATGGCCATAGTACAAAACATCCTGACATTGCCATGTCACTTATCCACCTGGGTCAGGCTCTGGTCTCCCTTGGTGATTACAGAAAAGCAATCAGCCACTATGAACAGGCTCTACAGATGTACAGGAGTATCTATGGTCAGATTTCAGATCACAGCGACATTGTAGCCTCACTCAACAATCTGGGAGGAGCTTTCCAACTTCTTGGCAAGTACAGAACAGCAGCCTGGTATTACAAACAGGGACTGCAGATGTCGAGGAGAATCTATGGCCAAAATAAGGCACATCCTCAAATTGCTGAGTCACTCAGTGGCCTGGGTTCTGCCTTTGACCAACTGGCTGATTATAGAGAAGCAATAAGTTGTCACAAACAAGCATTGCAGATGCGTAGGAGTATCCATGGTCAAACTGCTGCACATCCTATGATTTTATCCTCACTCATCTACATGGGGTCAGCGTGGCACCATCAGGGTGACAAAAAAAAGGCCATCAGCTACTATGAACAGGGTCTGCAGATGTGCAGGAGTGTCTATGGTCAGAATACACCACATCCTCAGATTGCCACACTACTCAATAACCTGGGGTCAGCCTGGGGTGAATTTGGTGACCACAGCAAAGCAATCAGCTTCCTAGAACAGGCACTGCAGATGGAGAGGAGTATCTATGGTTTGACGACTGCACATCGTGAGATTGCCAACACACTCAACACCCTGGGTATTATCTGGCAGGCCCTTGGCAACAACAAGAAAGCACTAAGTCTCTGCCAAGAAGCCTTGGCTATGGCAAGGCAGGTTTTCCCTCTAGACGAAACCCACCCATTGATAAAACTAATTGAAAGAAACATTGCTACAATCCTATCTTGAAAGTTAATCTGTGTTGGTAAAACAACAGAACATATAGATATGACAGGTGGCCATCAAGCCTCAGCATCCACATACAAACCTCAGTATAGACATTAGACAGGAAACCGCATAGTGAGTGAATGAGTAAAAGAGACTTAGTGGCTGCCTCTATGAACTTTGGGTAGATGTCGAAGGTGAATGGGTAACATGCGCACGCCTGCTATCATGTTTATATCCTCGTAGGTGGACTCTGAAATGTCGACCTGAGCTCCATCTGGGTAAACAGGTAAATTCTGTCATGAATAGCTGTTGTTCAAACTTAACCTGTTAGGTGTCCCTACTGACACATGTCAGCCAAGCTATTGCGTTTATGTCTTTGTACGTGGATTCAGAGATGTCGGTCTGCGAAAACAAGATTCTGTCATAAATTAAGGCACGAGAAACATTTTCAGTTTGCATGTCAGCCCGCATGTTCAGTTTGCATGTCGTGTTGATGTCCTCGTTTGTAGACTCAGAAATATCAGCCTGAGCTCTGTCTGGGAAAACAAGGAGATTCTGTCATATAGTCATTATACTATCATGAAATTTCATCTGTGTTGGTAGTTACAACTTACAAGTTAAAACTTTCGATCCAACACAAGAAATTCTCTCACCTGTTTTTGACTTCTAGTCCATTTTCAGCAGTGTGAAAGGAAAGTCAGCAATTTCTCACCAAGACCTAACCCTCTAACAAGAACAAGTCGTTCACATATTATTTTGATGTTGGAGAGAAACATTTGAAAATGGACAATAACTTCTCTGAAATTGCTCCATACATGTAACAAACCTCACATCATTAATAAGTATATACTTTGTTGGTTACTAGTTTTAGGACGTTGTGTGTATCTGGCAGTACAATCTTTGTACAAATGTATCTTTTTCTTATTATTATTACAATGAAATACTAAAATCCCTAAGCATCTTTTGTAAGAGAACTAGAAACACATGAAAAGTAATATCAGCGTATACATTTTGTACAGTTCATACATGTACACCCCAATCTTATGCAACTAACCACCCAGGACCAGTGTACTACAAGTAAGAAGAAAGTAGATGAAAGATACATTCTTGTCCCAGGCAGTGAGCTTGATCTTCGTGTATTAGGATTTTTTCCAGTTGTATGGCATCGTATTCAGGACCAAAGAAGGGGGAAACATTCTAGTTTGGTATAAGAGGGAGAGATGCCACCTTGTTTTGTGTCAAATATCTTACGATAAGCCTTTATTTGTGTAATATTGAAGTCTTTTTAAGCCCCACATGTATCATTGTTTCCCCCCTAACACTCCAAGACAATGTTATAACGTTATACACAGAAATGAATTACACTGCTGAAAGTGACTAGCTCACTTTTAAAAGTCAACCCCGTAGACTTAATACTTTAATTCTAGCCTGTATTGTTTAGTGTACATGTCTGTAAGGAGCTGTAAGTGTCGGCCATGTGTATGTAGGTAAAACTTTAACGTCACAGTCTCATTACACACTGCGCATGGCACCTATCACTGTGATGACAGGTTTTTGAAGTTTTCAATAAAGTGAGTCCATTTGAAGATTTCTGGAGGAAATATTCTTGTGTTTTTTTTCCATAGCAGCATCTACTCCTAAACATCCCCTTGCCAGCTACCTTCATTCATAGTCACAGAAAAGCAACACCTGGTTTGGAAGTCAGTTGCATGTAGTTATTGCAGAAGGGCCATCTGTTGAATAATGGTGGTACTACATTCTCGACAAATTCAAACTAGAATTCCACAGTTTCGTACCTTTGCCCAAAAATGTTAACCTTTTTAAAAGATTGACGTACGTTTCATTGCATTCATTTTTTGCAAATAAGATCATTTGCATGAATTAGATCAGTCACTCCCCCCAATGACAGTCTTATTTTAAGCAAAGAAAGCTATTCTAAATTATGCAAATGAGTGGATTGGAATAAGTTGTGTTTAATGATATTCATAATTGACTTCCAAATGCCTCAGGTATGAAACTCCTGTCATTTACCAGTACGGAGTGATAGAATGTTTTCATAATAATGCAAATTGGGGCACAATTTACACAATATCTGTCAATGTTCCTCTTAATTACATATGTCATAAGTTTGAATTGCCGTATCATAGATTGGTTGCGTTATTTCCATAGGTTGTGTGTATGGATATCGGAACAACTAGGCTAAAAACTGTATTTGAAACCCTGGTTTCTTGGACAAGAAATATGCATCCTACATGGTGCAAAAAAATCGCCACCAAACGGCTGAAGTTATCATTGCAGGAAAACACGCATTCAGCAGGAGCGCTAGCAAACTTCTGACGCGTGAATATGATACGAGTGTGTTTTGAGTGTACAAATGCATTCGTTTCCTTCATATGTGGAGTTATTCAGTAGTAATGGCCAGGAAGCCAGGTTGAAACTTATGGCATCCATGTCCTTGGTGCTGAAAGCAATGTCACCCCTCCCCAATTCGTAATAGCATTTTTGGACTGGAATTTTTCGCTTCTTGTCACATAAGTCGGTTCCTTTTCTCAGTCAAGGCAGCTCGAACAACTCTTGCTTATCTGGGGGAACATAATTGTCTGAAACACCTCCGTGCATGGGAAAAATCCGTCTTAACTTGTCATCTTTACCTTACTTTATTTATAGCCTCCTCTTGTGGGAGAAATGGAACCTTCCCTCCCGGCTTGTTGTAGGATGGTCGGCTATATTAAAATAACGCGTTAAAAACTCTTCCCCGCCGCCGCGGAGCCTGCACAGGAGGCTAACACATCACCATAATGAAGCCAATCACCATGAAGAATACAAATTTATGACCTATAGCGCCATGGATCAAAAGCGACTTCTAGCAGCCACTGAAATTACTGCAGGAAGAATTGGCTCTGGTACCTGCAATAATACCATAAATTGCTAGAGGCCCTCATTGACACGTACTGAATTGACATGAGTGTGAGAGATCTAGGGAATTGACTTGACAATGAAGGGTGTCAGACTCGCCAGGAATGAAAATATTTATACACAATCTATTTTTTGACCTGTCAATTATGAATTTAGAATTAACCTTTTTTCTTTATTCACATCATTTATGCATTTATGTCATCTGTATTAAAATCTCCGTCCGAAGATATAAGTTGTGTGGGCAGTTTTGCACCCCCAGCATAAAAACACGTGGTACAGTCTGCTGTTTCTGTCGTGCGGCGCGGGAAGGTTGTCTGTTTAGGGCGTCCGAATTCCTGAAGTTTGTCAACTTTTGGGGGTAAATTTCCAGTTTCTTTTTCTCAAAATGTTTCCGTAAACATATTCGGGGAACCTTCTGGATATTCATAAGGAAAATTTGTGCCGTCCTTTGGATGTTCGAAGGAGAAAATGCAGCGCATAAAATTTGCTGGTGAATTTCCGAGGACACGGCTAGAATTATGGCCGGCGGCGGCGGCGGCGGCGGTCGTCTGACTGTTGAAAGGACTGCGTGTTGTGAGAAAGACGGCGACTTTACAAGGTAAGATAACAGAAGCACCTCGTTGAACTTACTCCCAAGAAAGTTTCATTTGGCGTATATTGATGTGATATGTTGGAAAAGGCACACTTGTTGCTTGACCATTTTTGCTCTGTTTTGTGGCCATTTAGTTTATGCAATTTTGTGAAGTACGTTGTGTCTTTATTAATTCAAGAATCATTATGTGCTTCTTCTACGTCCAGTAGCATTAAAAACAAAATATGAGGTAACTTTTCAGTCGGAAAAATTGTGGTAAAATATTGTATTTTTCCTCTCCACGTGGTGCCCCAGGTGTCCAAACCACCTGTAAATTTGTCGCACGTGCGCATAATTAGCTGCTTTCGAAGTTCGAACATTGCAATGTTCCCGCCAAAAACGCCCCTAAACAAGGTTTTATATTCTCTGGGCCTTCCTGGAATTTATCATTATTTTTGCCAGTTCCTTTTTCGAAAAATATTCCTTAAACATTGTACAGCATTAAAAGCTTGGAAATATTTCAGCTGTGAATTTATGGCCCGTACTGAGAGGAAAATATGTGAGCATAATTAATTAGGTGCGTTCAAATTTGCGTAAACAAGGTTTCGGCAATAGGTGCGTGGTTCTGTGATTCTGAGGTATGCTTTTGAGGTGGAGAAGATGATGTTTGTTGCTGTATATCAGTTTTATATAGCCTTTAGAGTATTTACAGAATATTATTCTAAGGAAGATAATTCTTTAATCAACACCCTTCAGGCGTTGATCTGTGAGGGGTCAATGGCCTCCTGTATGCTGTCCATTATGTGCTTCAGTATGCGGTTGTGTGGGAATGTGTAACGTCCTTGCTGGAGAGAGACACTGTAGTGGTTCAGAACGTGGTGTAGTGTTTCCCGGTTCCCGCACAGTTTGCATCTGTCACTGCTACGTTTTCCCCATGTCGCCAGGTTACAGAATGTAGGCAGGGTGTGTATGGAGGTGTGCACCGCGAAACTTAAGATACCTTTTGGCAAGTTGTAGATTGTTGACCGCCACGTAAGATCACACTTCTCCTCCTCAAGCAGTTGTAGCAGGTTCTTTTGATCCTTACTCCACACATCATGGAGCATGTCAGCCACCTGTGTTTGATGTGCTTACCTACTGAAGGCCATTCCAAGTCTTTCTGCGTGGCTTGTTGGTGGATGGTGTGTCAGGTCTTAATACCTCATTTCTGCATTTTCCTTGTCCACTGCGATTCGCGGTCTAATTTGGCCTGTACAGCGTGTTTCACCTTGTTGTCGGCTATGAGAGTGGACTTACTGCATGTTAAGGCTAGACTGTTGGCTTCAAGGTACAGGTCTGATATGGTTCTGTAGTTGAGACCCCTGGTGTTATACAGGATAGCATTTGTAGCACTGGGTTGCATATTCAGCTAAGTTTTGAGCGCCGGTGTGTGGATAGCATCAAGCTTTTGTAACTGTGTATCTGTCAGATCATGCACCATCAACATATACCTCCAAGATGGGAAAGCGTACTCCATGTATACCCTCATTTGTATTTGTTTCTTATGGCTGATTTGTATATGTTTTCGATTGTTGTTTCCATTGTTTTCGCCAAAATGTCATAAGTCTCTTGTTCTGGTCGAGAATGTAA